CCTCGAGCCCCGTGTACCTATAAGGGTTCCTTTAAGGATTCCTTTAAGAGCTCCTATGAGGGTGCGCGATTCAGGGTTTGATGCCCCATGTACCTATATAGTGAGTATACTTAGGCCCTAAAGTACCTCTGTAGGAGCCCCCCCTACGACCTAAGTAGACACGAGATTAGTGCATGGAGCCTTAGGGAAGAACAGTAAGGCAACCGAAGCAAAGACCTAGAATTTGAGGGCTTAGGATTTCGGGTTCAGGGCTCCAGGTAAACCCAAAGCCATGCAGCAGCCGCGCACGCAAAGCCATGGGGGACTGAAGCCTAGCCTTCATGTCAAGCCAAACCTCTTTAAGTCCGCAACCCGAAAGCCCTAAACACCAAGAGCCAGTAGGCGCGACTGTCGGAGTTGAGAGCTAAGTGTTATGGTGTAGGCGTCAGATTGGGGGTGTTGGGGTTCAGCAATGCAAACAGCTAGACCGCGGCTAATCTCTGAAGTTGGAGTTGATCGTTTCCGCTGAGAATTGTTTCTTTATCCGAAAGACCCGACCTCTGTTGCTGGCTTGCAATTAAAATATTCATGAATGAACTCTGAAGCCCCGTAGAAAGCTTCTTCCGGGCTGGCAGGAAAGTGGCTCCGAGAGTGACAGTGCTTCGGAGAGCGTTGGCGACTGAGTTTTGAATCTACGGCTTGGGGCCTGTCCAGGCTTCTTGTTCGGGAAGTGTGGATGTGGCTTCAGGACGTTTTGTCGCATTCTGTCGTGGTAGCTTTCGTCAGAGGAGCCATGCTTTTTCGATCTGCTTTTTTCCAATCGCTGTCCTGATTTGAGGGAGCCCTGTATATATCTAACCGCAAAGGTCGACTTTGCTGCAGTTCTTGCAGCTTGGGTTCCAGAGAGGTAACAACAATCGACTTGCCTCGACGAGAGGTTATTCATGACACACTGTGCTATGTTGCACCAGGTGGCCACGGACGCATCGAATGCCACGGCCGTAATTTGTTTTACACGAAAGGCCCAGAGCTACACAGCTGTGTATGCAGTTCATTTGGCAAAGGATGTCATAAGTTGAATTCGGGCTTTTGTTCGAGCCTCCTAGCCATACAGCACCAAAGCTCAAACATCATCATCATCATCATCATCAGCATCAGCATCATCATCATCATCCCTGTCGTTCGCAAGATGGTTTTGTGGAAGTCGGCTTTGGTTCACAGCGGACACTTTTTGCAAGAGGGAGTCTACGCTAGTCTAGGGTGCAAGGTTGGGAGTCTGCTTGCAGGGTTCATAAGTACCCATAGGCCCCTAAGTAGTTCCTTTTAGTGGCTTATATTTAGAATCCTATAAGGTAATCCCAAAAAGGAACCACTTAGGGGCCTATGGGTAGTTATCAGGGGTTTGAAGTCCCCTAATATGGGTTATCACCGGCGTCGGCCTACTTGTAAACCCCCACTTATAACCACCGAAAACCCTAAACCTAAACCCTATGGAACTCTTATTAAAGGAGCCCTGTATATAACCTCAGTTATAGCTACCTATGAACCTCCAAGCAGGGTTTAGGTTTGAGGCAATCTCAGCGGCCCCGAAAGCTCTCCGTGAAGGTTTCGCGTATCAAGTTTCATCGAGACCCCTACCCCAAGCGCAAGGCCGTAATACCTAAGCCTAGACACCATACCCCCTAAACCCTAACCCTAATCCTTACACACTTCATGCTTGCCAGCTTGAAGGGGGTTCCGTCTCGAAGATACACCCCCGCAGCAAGGTCAGCACAAAGCAGAAGAAGAACCTGAAGGCGGCAATTGTGCATGCTTTCAGAGTTCAGGGGGTCTAAAAGTTTAACTTTATAATGGTTTAGGGCTCACTAGGGTTTTAGGGTTTAAGGCTTCAGGGTTCCAGGTTTTAGGGGGCTTAAACAATTACCAATACTATATATATTAGGGGCTCCGTATTCTCCTCAGTATAGTGTACCCCACGAAGAACCCCATTCTAATTGTTAAGGCCCTTAGAATATGCCTGCTAAAAGGGATCAGGCGACTTGGTAGCTAAGGTACCGTTTACAGCACGGGCTGCAACTGCCCCTAACACATCTGACGCCTGCTGCAAGTTTTCGTTTTTGAGCCAGTTATGGGTCAGAAGCAGTGAAACCCTAGAAGACTTTACATAGCTCGTCCAATCCTGGCGAATATACAAACCCTATTAAAGCCCAATTTTTGGTAAACTCACCCATCAAGCTGCTTACCATCTCGATTCGACCGTACCGCCGGCTCTGAGACCATAGTCGACCCTACTATAAGCTTGATTATAAGCTCACTCATAAGCCGCACTAGCACCCCTACCAAGCATCTGTTGAAAAAGCTTAACCCAGCCGTACTACAACTTCGCCACCAAACCCTACAAGCCCCGAAACCCTAAACCCGCCAAAGCCCCAGACCCCAAAATACTGAAAGCCCGAGACCCAAAATCCCCAAAGCCCCAAGCTCTAAATCACCAGAAAACCTTATCCCCAAAAGCCCCCAAAACCCCCGAAACCCCAGAAGGAACTCTTACAGTGCACTGAACCCTACACCCTAAACCCTAAACCCCAAACCCTAAAACCCTAAACCCTAAACCCTAAGCCCTAAACCCTAAACCCTAATTCTCTAAACCCTAAACTCTCTAAACCGCTGGTCGGCCTGAGGCACAGAAGAAGGGCGCGGCCTCGAAGGCTTGGCAAGAAACTGGAGAGCTAACTGAGGAGTTTAGGGTTTAGGGTTGAGGGTTTAGGGGTTTAGGGGTTTAGGGTTGAGGGTTTAGGGTTTAGGGTTGAGGGCTTAGGGTTTACGGTGTAGGGTTTAGGGGTTTAGGGTTGAGGGCTGAATCATTTAACATTTAGCTGTTTGTAGCTCCTGACTACAAGTGGCACTTTATTGTGTCCCAAAACCCTCTTCAATATTCGGATTAGCAAGGCCCCTATATTGCCCACAAACTGGGGCTTTAGGGTGTAGGGCTTACAGGCATCTGAAGCTCGTTTCAAGTTCACGGGCACATCGATGCCTGTGTTAATGTGGGCTTCGCGTCATTTGAAATCTGTTTATTCATGTCTTTTGCTTGTTATTAGCTTTCCTCCTTGTGAATGACACGCTACAATGATATATGTACAATGAATGTCCTGCTTCTGCATACCAACTGGAAATATTGGTTTATTGCTGTCCCTCCTAGCTTCACGGAAGCGGGGTGTGGGTGTTCTTTGCCAGCATGCTTGCACTTGTGGGTGTTTTGTATGGACTTCAATATCCATGTATTTCTTGCTGCTTGTATTGTGAGATCATTCTTTGGGGATGTAGAGGTATGAGTGGTGTCTGTGCCCTGTTGAAAACATGTTGGTATGCGGAAGGAAAGGACATGCTGATCGTCATCACTCTTATAGTGATTCCTCGTACAGCTGCACCTTGCATAGCCTGATATAACCCTAGACCGCAAACCCTAAACCCTAAGCCCTAAACCCTCAACCCAACAAACCCTAAAAACCCTAAACCCTAAACCCAAACAAAACCTCCCATCCGATGATCCGATGACAAAGTCTCTGCCCTGCTGCAGGCACGGCCGAAGCCGGCCGCCTCTGCGCAGGGGCCCTCAGCTGCCTTTGTCGAAGGCTCCGTTTAGGGTTTAGGGGTTTAGGGTTTAGGGGTTTAGGGCTCCATGTACCTACCCATAGGCCCCTAAGTAGCTCCTTTTAGTGGTTTATATTTAGAATCCTATAAGGTAATCCCAAAAAGGAGCTACTTAGGGGCCTATGGGTATATAGTACATACTTAGGGCTTCAAGTAGTTTAGGGCTTTGGGGTTTAGGGTAGTCATTACTGTAAGAGCTTAAAGTAGTTTAGGGTTTAGGGTTTAGGATAGTCCCTATTAAGGGCTTGAAGTAGTTTAGGGTTTAAGGTTTAGGGTAGTCCCTATTCAAGTACTTTAAGAGCTAAGTGTTTATATTGGTACATGGAGTCTGGGGGTTTCGTCCGTCTGTGCGGGGTTCTGCCCAGGCCGGGCCACAGAGGGCAGTCTGTGAGACTTTTTTTCGGAGAGATGACACTTACTATAACTTGTAGTATGTTCTGTAGTCTAACATAAGATGTAATACTATAGTGTTGTGTAATATGAGAGATCTGCAGAGTCCCCGCCAGAAGCCGGGTTCATGTCTAACCTGAGTCGGGTAGTAGTCCGCAGAGGTGTACTTAGGAAATAAAGTTGTGGGGCCCTTGGTTGTGTTCCGGATCGAACGCATCAGCAGATTCGTCAACAGGTATCTGTGCATTTGGAGTATCCCCAAACCCCCTTAAACCCGACACCCTGAACCCCCTAGCCCGTAACTAATCCAGAAAGCCCCCAAAGCCCGACGGAACCCAAAGCCCCAAACCGTACGACCTACCGTAACCGTCGGACATCGTTATAGCAACCCCTTGCAAAGGCACCCTAAACCTGCCCATTGCTCTGAACTCGGGTTCCTGGCAGTATCCTCAACGCCACAATGGGTTTAGGGGCCACGAATCCTTGTGACTCAACACCCTTCATTAACCAATACAATCATATTACTAACTGTTACTAACCCCTAAATCCTGAAGCAAGTTGCTGATACACCCCATACTGACCTAGGCATTTTTAATACCTAAAGAAGACGAGGGCTTCTGGTTGCATGATGACGGGGATATCCGTCAATAACCATCAGCAGCACCATGTGCACCATCAACCGAAAGCAATAAACTAGGCCTCTTATCGTCATGATGTCGGTAAGATCCCTTGGTTTAGTGGGCATCGGGCTGTGGATATCGGTTTCTGTTCTGGAGCATTCAAAACCCCGATAGTAAATAACAACAGCATTCGAGAGCCCCCTTTGGAAGACCCGGGTCAGAGGGTTCCTTTGCCTACTTATATTATGAAATCACCCCTTTTATGTATGAAAGGAAATCCTAATAGGGAGTCCTCAACATGTGTGTCACTTAGGGTTCAGGTATACTAGAATATACACCAACTCCTGTTCCTTTAAGGTCTCCGCCTCCAAAGAAGCGAAAGAAGTCGGATGACTCAGAGCAGAAGAAGTCCGACGATTCGGAGGCCATGGGGTTTAGGGTTTAGGGGTTTAGGGTTTAGGGTTTGTTTGTGGAATGGCGCGTGTTTGTGCGTGCTTGCTTGCTTGCCAGCCTCCTTGCATGGTCGGTTGTTTCGTTGCTTGCTTGTGTGTGTGTGTGCTTCTTCGTTGCTTGTATGCTGTTTACTCTACTGTGTTTGTGACGATGTCTTGCTTTCTGTGCGTTACGTTCGCTGGTTACTTTTAGTTCTATGGTTATTGATGGTATGTAGTTGCTCTTCTATCATGTGTACATGTGCTGCAGTATCATTATGCCGTTTTTCTCAACTGCTTTAGTTCTCAGTTGCTTGAACTGATATCGTTGTTTGTTTCCTGATCCTGCCTTTTTGTTTGCTCTCTACATCGTTTATTGTGTGTTTGCTTGCTTGCTTGCTTGCTTGCTTGCTTGCTTGCTCACTTGCTGCTTGCCTGCTTGTGAATCGGGTCTGATCTGGTTCGTGTTAAGCTCAACGAGCATTTAGGGAGTCGGGTCGAGGTTTACGGCTCAGGGCTTCAGTTTCGGATGTTAAGTGCTCTGTTGTTACCATGAAGCGGTTCCATGGGACGAGCGCCGTTTATGTTTCTGTGCGTAGTGTTTGTATAGATCGAGGTTTTGGGGGGCTACCCAGACCTTCCAAGATCCTATGAAGGGATTTGGGAAGGTGTGGGTGCCTCAGCCCTAAGCCAACCCTACACCCTAAAGGTTTAGGGTTTTGGGTTTAGGATTTTAACCCTAAACCCATCCAAAACCCTTATCAACGTTTCGAGGCTGTCTGTCTATTGGCTCAGGCGCAGCGAGAATCTGCTACAGAGATGCCGGATCATGGGACGATCTGGAAGTCGGTTGAGGGTGGAGGGTTTAGGTTGTACCTGGGGATCCAAAACCCTACCGTTTTAAGAGTTCTACCCTCTAAATAAGGGGTCATAACCTACTATTTTGTAGGGTTGGGGTCACAGGTAGGGGTTTAGGGTGTAGGGTTTAGGATCTAGGCGGGCATCTAGGGCCACCGTCAGGAAGAAGACAACCCTCCGCCCCAAACATTCCTAAAACCTAAGAGCTGCAGTCCCAAAGGGTGCAAACGACCTTAAAGGTTCCGTAATCTAGGGGCCTAAATACCTACCAATACCGGGGGCTGCTTATTACTGTAATCAAGTAATCATATACCCCAAAACCCTATGCTAGTTCTTAAGGCCCCTGCATGAAACCATAAACCCTTACTACTTCAAACCCTAAACCCTAAAACCCTAAAACCCTAACCCCTAAACCCTAAACCCGAAACCCAGGAAGAGGAGGAGTCAAAGAAAGAAGCAAAGAAGGCCGAACCGGAGGACTCCGACGAGGAGGACCCTCGGTTGGATGCTACGGTTTAGGGTTTTGGGGTTTAGGGTTTGGGGTTTCAGGGTTTAGGGTTTAGGGTTTTAGGGTTTAGGGTTTAGGGGTTTAGGGTTTGGGGTTTAGGGTTTAGGGTTTACGTATGAATGCATGTATTTTTAAGAAGGCTTACTGTTAGGGTTACTACCATGGTTTCTGTAAGGCTTCTGCTTACGGGCTGCTATGAAGGTTCTAGGGCTTAGGGTTTAGGGGCTTGGGATTTAGGATTTGTTTTTTTGGCTTCGGATGTAGAGTTTACAAGCAAGTTCGCCTGGAGTCTGTATGCAATTTCCCGTTCAGCCAATTTTGGTTATAAGTCCAGAAATCTGCATTCCACGAAACACCCTTATCAAAGCAGCTTTGTGCCAGCGACAGGTGCTTCACAAACCATCCTGGGAAAGACGTTTGAAGAACCCTACTGAGACCAACAGCCTGTCATCAAAATCACGTTGACATTGCGAAGACCCTGTGTAAAACCAAGAAAGGCTTTTCTAGTGAGAGCAGAAAACTTGGACCCCAAACCGTTAAATTTACAACAGAAGGAAAGTCAGTATGATTCCGTCTGTATATCCTTTTTTCAATCGGTTTTGTGTTCCACTCCGAGGTAGAGCAGATCATCAGCAAGAAGAAGAAAGCTGCGAAGAAGGATTCTGATGACGAGTCCGAGGCAGCCGGAAATTTCTAAGTGAGATTGGGTTCGGATTTTGGCTCTGGGTACATGCAGCCCTAAACCCTAAATCCCTAAATCCCTAAACCCTAAACCCCTAAACCCTAGACCCCTAAACCCTAAGTTTCAGTTTGGGAGTCGTCTATCTCTTTCCCCCCACGCAAGGGCGGATTGTTCATCCTCTAGGCTCTTGGCTTCTTTACGGGTTCTAAACAATAAACCATTAGTGCTGAGCCCCCCACCGCCTAAGCCCCGAACCATCTAGGATAAGTTGGAAGTTAGAAGTGCGTCGGAGGGCTCGAGCCATCGTCGCCAAAAACATCTAGGATCTGTGGTGAATTTTAGGTTTTGTGCGGAAACTGAGGGTGTGTTGTGTGTATCAGGTGGTGTTCAGGGGGCTAGTGCAGTCAAGGCTTTCCGGTTTGTGTAGGCTTAGTGAACTTTCAGTGTGGAGCTGAAAAATCGACTCGCGACTACCCGGACTAACTTTTTTCGCAGCTTGAATACCCAGGGACCAGTGTCAGGTGAAGCCCCAGACCCTAAAACACCAAACTCAAACCCCTGAGTCGAAAAGCCATCGGGCCTTTGTTGAGGGCGCTTGCAAATTCATCAGCAGAGAGTAAACCCTAAGGCTCCATGTGCCCAAATCGTATGTGCTTTGGCCCCTTAAAGCAGTCCCGAATGGTTCAGGACGGGGCTCTGGAATCCTGAACCAGAATGCGAGCTCATGGTTTGGGGAGTTTAGGGTTTTAGGTTTCCTTAGGGCAGTTTTACACAGCCCAAAACTCCAAACCCTCAGCCCTAAGCCCCTAAGCTAAACCCAATCAGGAGGAGGAGCCCAAGAAGAAAAAGAAGAAGCACAAGAAGAAGTCGGAGGATTCGGAGGCGAAGCCTCGACGTGGCTTCAAACTTTAGGTATCAGGGTTTAGGGTTTTAGGGTTTAGGGTTTAGGATTCAGGGTTTAGGGTTTTGGCTTTTGGATTCAGGGTTTAGGATTTAGGATTTAGGGTGTATGTCTTTGGCTTTATAGGGTTCACAGTTTAGGGATTTAGGGCTTACGGTTTAGGGTTTGGGGATTCNNGGTTTAGGGTTTAGGGTTCGGGTTCACCTTGACCAAAACTTGCCTTCTTAGGCGGGGCATAGATAAGAAGATAAGAAGATCATATAATGCAGAACCCGGAAACGGTAGGTTTGGGGGAGTTTCGGCAGGCTGGAGAGCTTGTTTAGGTCCTGCTACTAGGATTTATGCGGCTCTTCGGCTCCCGTGTAACCTCGATAAAACATTGCATGCCCAGCATTCGTGGCCATACAGCATCTACTACGACTGCTATAGGTACATGGACCTTGGACAACCATATGGAGACCCCTTAACTTTACATGCGGCCCCTGCTGCAGAAGGTTTAGAGTTAAGAGCCACGGTGCCGGAAGCCGAGACCGGATCCCGATACCTTAAGATGGAACCCTAAACCCTAACCCTAAANNAGGGTTCAGGATTTCGGGCTTGGGGCAGCCTGAAGGATTCCTCGGCTAGTTCCGCCAATAAGAATTCGCTGGGCTCCACGGTTCTACATTTCCTGCTCTACATTATATTAATAATGACGATAAAAATTTCAAACAATAACGGTAATCGCAATAATATGTATTAGCTATATGTGGACAGGCATGCGTTTCTGTAGATGTGCGTACAGACACAAACACACACATCTCTCTCTCTCTCTATATATATATATTTATATTTATATTTATATTTATGCATGTATACACATACATGCATAAACACATTAGCATCACAGTTTAGTACTTTTTGGATGCGGCTTTCGGTTGCAGGCCTTATCCGAAGGGTCCAAGTACACAAAACTCGGCCAAATAGTAAACATCCATAGCTACTCATCCGAAACCCCGGTACCTAATCATTGTTCCTGGCTTAGGATTTAGGGTTTAGGGTTTAGGGATTGAGGTGCAGGGCAAGGTTTGGCTTCACGGTTTGGAGTAGAGGCTTTTGGTTTGTGAGGATGACATCTTGCTCTTGGCTGAGTGCGCGAGCGCAGATGGGCGTTTCTTCCTTGCTCTTTGAGGGTGGGGTGATTCATGATACCCATGAGATATCATCACCACAACGGTACCGCAGAACGGAGGGTAGTCATACGGTAGGTTCAAGATTCGGGCGGCCGGATGCTAGGCTACGTCATGAAGGTTGAAGCCTAAGCCTTGAACCACCGCCGTAGAGCGGACAAGCCTGTAGGCCTCTATTACACAGGTCCTCTCCCCCTGAAGCCCGTATCAATCCTCGGGTTCTGAAGCGGCAGCCTCAAACCCCAAGATCCCCTTGGCTTCACCGTCGTGTAGATGTGCAGCCAATGCTTCGATGAGTCTTCACCGGGTGGCTGAAGCCTTTCTAAACCCTAAACCCTAAACCCAAACCAAAGCACCATTAAGGCAAGCAAGCAGCCGTGGACTCCCAAACCCCGAAGCCCCACCAGGAAGAGGAGGAGACAAAGAAGAAGAAAAAGAAAGAGAAGAAAAAGTCGGAAGATTCGGAGGCTGTTTAGGGTTTAGGGTGTAGGGTTTAGGGTTTGGGGTTTTAGGGTTTAGGGTTTTAGGGTTTAGGGTTTTGGGGTTTAGGCTTCAGGGTTTGGGGTGTAGGGTTTAGGGTTTTGCGGGCTGCAGGGTTCAGTGGTTTGGGCGAACGGTTCAGCCGCTTCAGCTCCTGATCATCGAAGTACCTGGGTTCGGTTTCCTGCTCAATGACAGTCACAACTCCTAGGCTCGAATAAACATAGAGGTGGTTCGGAGGTCGGGCTCTTCTGCTTGAAGTCTACCCATGGTCTCCATTGTAGTGCCTTATTTGGGGGGGTTACGTTACAGGATCCTCAATAGAAGATTGGTTGTTCAACCAAAAATGGAACTACAGTGGGGACTGTAGGTAAGCCCTCAACCCCAAAACCCCAAACCCCTCACATCATTGTTTTTTTTCAGGTCCGACTGCAGCGTGTGGCCTTCAGAAGTGCATTCTTCTCCGGTGCTTATATCGCATTCCGAGTTGGGCATTCTCAGGTTCAGGTCTTGGTGTTGCGAAAATCGGACGACTTGTGGTTAAGGGGGGAAAGGCTGCTTTGTGAAGGCTTTGAGGCGAGAACTACCTTTGAGCAGGTCTCGACTATGAAAGCCGTCTTCGAAGGAAGACTAAACCCCAAAACCCCAAGACCCTAAACCTTACCCTAAACTCTAAACCCTAAACCCAAAACCCAAGACCCTACACCTTTCCTGCCTAAAACTTGTTTAACCTAGGCCAACCCAGGCCTGGAATCCTGACTCCCAACAGGGCGTGAACCCTGCCGCCGAGCCCTAAACCCTAAACCCTAAACCCCTCAACCCCTCAACCCCTCAACCCTGAACCCTAAACCCCTGGCCTGCCGGCCTCTCGGGCCAACCGCACCTTGCAGCAGCAGGAGGAGGAAGAAGTGAAGAAGAAAGATGATGAGAAGGTTGGCTAAGACATCTTCGCCATTCCTAAACCCTAAACCCCAGAAACCCTAAACCCGATAACCTAAACCCTAAATTCATAAACCCTAAACCCTAAGCCCATAAACCCTAAACCCTAAATCATCAATCGAGAGTTGAGGAGTTCAGGACCCAAAACCATGTGCCATGGCATAGTGTCCGAGCACATGGTGTTGTTCCTGCAAAGCTATACGAGGTTTGTCGCAGCAGCCTTCAAACAGTAGATTAGGTAATTTTGCTCAACCAGCTGCTCGATAAGCGCTCCCAACCTTTGCGACATGTTGAGCAATGTATTCCCTAAACCCGAATCCCTAAACCCGAAACCCAAATCCGTGAGCCCCAAACCCGAATTCCTAAACCTGAAGGGCTAATCCGTATACTCGCAACTTATAGGGGCTGGGCCGGTAAGTCTAATTAGTAGGCGGTAGGGTTCTTTCTCTCCAGAAGTAATTTAGCTTTCCTGGAGCAAAAAACATAGGTTACTATAGGGGCCTTAGAATTTGCCTATACTAGTTTGGGGGTGCCTTATTATGATTATTATAACCCTATTCTAATTATTAAGCCCCCATACGTGAACCTCTTTGGGAGCCTAGGATGCTCCCTCAAAGTCCCCAAGACTCCAATCATACAAAGAGTACCTACTCTGAAACCCAAAAATCCATAATGTAGGGCCTAACCCAGAGTGTCCATATACACTACTATTATGGAATTAGGTCCCAAAAGACCATCCCTATTATGGTTTTGGGGACCTGATTCCGTAATAGTAGTATATATGGACCCCCTTGGTAAATTATTACCAGCACGATTTGGGGGGCTCCTCAATACAACTCTGGTATAGCAAACCCAAAACCTTATTCTAATTATTAAGGCCCCTATTGTCAATATTGTACCCAGTCTAGCTTCTGACAGCGCGAGCTTGCTAGTAGCGGAATTGGCTACGATGTCCGGCCAAGAGGACATGGAGCACAAGTTCCGCCAAGTGATGCTGCGACTGTTAACCTTGGAGGTCGGGTACGCCGACGAGCACGCGCTCCGAGGAAACTCCGCAGAGACATGCTGGTCGGACGCTTTCGAAGCCATCTTGATCCCTAAACTCTTGTGCGTTGTTGCGCTCGAAGGTTTGTTTTGGCAAGTCGCGCTATTCGCCTTTCTGGAACGAGACGAAACATCGGCCCCTCCAGCATGACCGTAGAAGAGCGGCAAGTGTGCCAAGCATTGATCTTACCAAAGCCTGTTGGGCAAGACACTAGATGCATGCCAGTCTTCGTGAATGACGACGGTTTAGGGTTTACCTAAACCCCCCCAAGAGTAGGTAGAATAATGGTCCAAAACCTCCGAAACACTGTCCGAAAGGCCATTATTCTACATACTTCTGGGGTCCAGGACCCTAAACCCTAAACCGTAAACCGAACCGAAGGAGTTCCACTATCCTTCCAGGGAACCAGACTTGCCCGGGCTTCTGTGTAGAGGGCAGACGTTCCGGGTCGGTGCTGCATGTGCGCAAACCCTGAGGGCCGATATACTGGGTTTTGGGTTTTGGGTTTGGCTTTAAGGGTTCAGGATTTTGGGTTTTGAGTCAGTTTTGAGTTTCGTTTTAGGGTTTAGGGTTCAGGGCTTAGGGTTTAGGGTGTACTCATACCTGGACCCTGAAGAACCTACCGTTTTCAATAACCGATATAAGGAAATCGAGACAAGGAGCGCCAAAAAAGGGGTTAGAAAGGGTTCAGGCCTTATAGCTTACATGGACCTTCATGGGAGTTCTTATAGGTACATGAGCGCCGAAGCATATTATACGGTCAGGATATATATTTGGCTAGATGTCAGGAGACAGTTCTGTACCTTGCTGTCTGTCTTATCGTACTCAGTTCTTGTCATTATCTACCCCTCGCAGACCCTCGAACGGATCTGGAATCTTGGTTTACACTTAGCCTTGGACGCCCAAGCCTAACCTCGTAACCCTGAGCTCAAGCTTTGCCTCTCCAGTTCCTTGTGTGAGAGCTCGCTCTTGATGTTGCAAGTTTGGGTCCTGGGCCGTGGGATTCGGGAGTGCCAAAGCCAGACCTAAGTACACTTGCAAGACCGCGGTTTCCGCCCCGATAATTCAAATCTCTGGGCAAGAAGGAGAAGAAGGACAAGAAGAAGAAGGACAAGGACTGACGGTCGCTTCTCTTTAGCATGCTTGATTGTTGCGTTTTCGACCTTTCTCCAGTCTTCCCTATTCACATTGTCACCGCTTGCGTCGTGTGCAAAACTTTGACCAAGCTGCGGCCGAATCAAGTCAAGTGCAGGGAAGCATCGAGCCAGTTTCTTGCTGCACATGCACAGGCTTGCCATAGAAGCCTGTCAATATTCTTCTTTGGGTTCCTCAGTATCAGATTAGAACTACATATACTATAAAGGAGCCCAAAACCCTATTCTACTTTTTCAGGCCCGTACATTCAAAGGCCTTGCGAGAAGCAAATTGGACCTTCAGCCTGCCCGAAAGAAAGAAAGGCCCCTACATTAGCAGCATGGAGGCAGGTGCGGAACCGCTCTGTCGAAACACAACAAGCCGAGCTGCCCAAAACTAAAGTCGAAATCCGTAGTGTAGGGGCCGAATCGAATACGGAACCCCGAAATAGTATTGTAATTATTTGGGCCTGTATATTACAGCAAGCTGCTGAGTTACACCGGGCACCCTAAACCCTAAACCCTAAACCTAAACCCTAAACCCTAAGCCGACACCGGGCTTTGATAGTGCCGTAGTCCCCAAGCCTGATACCCCAAGCCAAACCTCCAAGTCCGTATACAAACAAAACCCAGAAGGCCCTTAGCCCTAATCCACCCTAAGGGCTCATGTAACTTATCTAGTATATACTCTGGCCTTAAAGTAGTCCCTACATAGGAGCTTGGTGACCAAAGTATACCACAAGCAACTTGATCTCCGAGTCTGCAGATTGCAGGACAGAAAGAAAGCTGCTTCTTCAGCATCCAGGTGCACCTCCAAACGGGGCTGTGGGTGCTTCGTCTTTGCCGTTCCGGATTGCTGTTTCAGGCGTAAAGCTCGCGCTTGCAAAGCTTGACATTCAATCTGGGTAAGGAAAGCACACATGATCGATAATTAGTTGGTGTAATACCAAAGGCAGGCAGCGCCGTTGAGTTGCAGTGATGGTAACGATTGAACTAACATAAGGATTTCCGAAGCAGTAGACATGCGAAGTCTTTACTGCGCACGAACATTGAAGCCTGAGCCTAAAGCCCCCAAAGCGATCCGAAACCCCAATCCAGCCCCAACTATACGGTCACACCCTACCCCGATTCTAGGGTACCTACTTTTCTATAGCAGATCCTTACCGTAATATCATAGATACCCTAATAAAGGAATAGGGTATGGCCCTATAGTATTGTACAGGTACATCCCAAACCCGGGATCAATCAGAATAACATCTCGTCGCATGACAGGTCCTCCTCCGAGGTCAAGAAGAAAAAGAAGAAAGAAAAGGACGGAGTCTGGGGCTTTGGGGTCTGGGTTTATAAGGTTTAGGATTGAGGGGCTTGGGATGGTTTATGTAGGTATTTAGGGATAGGGGTTTAGGGTTTAGGGATTTAGGGGTTTGGCTGTAGGGGTGGCTTAGAGTTTAGCGTTTACAGGGTTCAGCAAGAGCCCAGAATAACCCCGACAGCTGACAGACCCACATTCGGAAAGGGAATGCAAGTTCCCCTTTGTCCTAGTCCTGACAGTCCTAACAGTTTTTGGTTTAGGGGCTTTGGATTTACATAGAATTTTTTGGGAAGTTGAACATGGAGCTGCGGCAGGAGAAGAAGGACAAAGAGAAGGAAAAGGAGAAGAACAAGGCCCGGCGCGGTTTTGATGACGGCCGCGAAGTCTGACAAAGGCATCACGAAGCCTAACGTGCAAAGCCGCACATCCCAGACCCCAGCTAAACCCCGATCTCTGAAACCCGAACCCGAGTACTTTGAGACAGGATTCATCATTCAGGTATTCTTAGTCGGCCCCGTCGCCTCCCAATCAATCAGTCTGCCATCCGTCAACTTAGCCCATTGTGTCCCCGTTGGTTTATGTGTGGCTGCGCAGCAGATCACCCAGTTCCGCCACTACTGCTGCTGGTAAGTGTACTGCCACAGTTGCTGCAGCTACTCTCTCGTGTAAGACTGCTACTCCAGGTTATCCTTGTGTGCTCGATTTTACTCCTGGCTGTGCCACTTCCATTGCAGCGACTACGACGGTACCGACGACGACGACCACCACCACCACCACGACTGCGAGAACCACAGCGACGACAACCACATTGACGACCGCTTCCACGACGACTGCGACGACGATGACGCGACGATGAGGACTGTTGAGGACAGGGTTAGGGTTACGGTATGCTACGGTTTCGGTTACGGTTACTACCACCACCACCACCGCCACCACCACCACCACCACCGCCGCCACCACCGCCGCCGCCGCCGCCATCACCACCACTACTGCGTACGATGCTCGTGGTAGCCTTCTTCTGAAAGATGTTGCTAGTGCTGTCATGAGCGTCAGGATCGGGATCGCAAGAAGCGGTCGAAAAGCAGGAGGTCACGAAGTAGCAGGCACCGCACGAGGGTTGAGTTTTAGGGTTTTAGGGTTTTGAGCTAAAAATACTGGGTTTTGTACTTGAGGATTAGAGCTTACTAGGCTCGGGCTTGTTGTTTCCACGGTAGCGTTGCGGGTATGCTTATTGCTCAAGCTGTGAGCTCCCTTGTGTTATTTCAAAGGAGTCGAAACGTAAGTTCCTTGAATGACTGGCTACGAAGTGTTTATCGGCTGTCACAGGGGTTTTGAGTTCTGAGGCTCCTAGTCCTAGGCCTCTTCAGCCAAGGCATGCCTGAAGCCACCATTGTAGTTCCTTCTTTGGTTTAACCAACATTGTATTAAGGATACTATATATATATATAAGGTATATAACCCCGAGAGGGATTTAGAATGGAGACTGTAAGGCTTCAAGGGATTCAGAGGTGGGTTAGGGTTTGGGGTGTAGGCTGTGGGGGAATTGAGGTTTCTAAGGTTTAGGGCTTCGCACGACATGTCGTCAGTGCATGATGGTGGTTTGTAGCTGGCATGGCTTTCAATGGCTGTGTCTATGCAGAGCAACCCATCGGCACCAAACTCTGCGCTTGGCCTTGAATAACGTCCAGCCCCAAGCTCTCAATCGTGATTCCTGTACCTTCTCAATGCAACCCCTATAGACAATCCTAAGAGCCCAAGAACCCCTTAACTCTAAACCTCGGAACCCCGAAACCCCGAAGCCTTTAAACGTTTGGTAAGGAGTGGGTTGGTGATGGGAAACGCGGGCGGGGCTGACGGGGGGGGGAGGGTGGGGGGGGGGGG